ATACATTGACACAATCCAAATGTCGTACTTGGATTTTATTCTGAAGTTGCTACACATAGTGGCGTGACGGCTAGCTTGATTTGTCGTTTTGACATTTCAGCTTCCCTTATGACCATTTTTATTGCCATTAAATAGTTGTTCACAACATTAATGCAACGCCATCCCGAAATCATATTACAGTTGCTAATTCAGGATGCTCAGAAATCGCAACTTTATTGCACTGTCATTGTATGATACGTCACAGGTTCGCGCTATTTGCTACCAGCAGCTAACCGCTAGCTGCTTTCTTTCTTTGTGGACACAGGCTAGTTTGTAATGTTTCAAGGAGAATGATGCACCTTAAACTGAACTGTTTTTCTTACATGGTCCATAAAAAAATAAGAATTCATACTTCAACATAGATTGTGAATCCAGTGAAACTCCTCTACGACGAAATCATGTTTGCAGCAAGAAATTTTTCACAACAGGGGGTTTTTCACTGTAGCAAATCTAATCTCAGATGTAAACACACACACACACACACACACACACACACACACACACGCACACCCACACACACGCACACCCACACACGTATGGGCGGCAGGAAAGTGGGAACGGTGCTAATGCATGAAGATTTTTTTCACACTAGGGGGTATTTTCGCCCATGTAGGTTTCGTTGTAGAGGAGTTTCACTGTACCTTAAAGTATCCTGTCTGGTATTGCACGTTATATTCTTAAAATCTAAAACCGCTATGTTTGACATTTTGTCCCTCACGATGCAAGCTCATGACTCAAGTGTGTGGCAGAGGAAGGTTGGAAATAATTGGACCCACAAATGTCAGCGCCCAAAGAGAACCCGGATTGGTGCTGAAGCGCATGATGATGACACAGGATGGCATGTTAATCTTTGAAGTGAAGAGCAGCAAGCTAACCGTAACATTAGCGGTTCTGATTCAGTTGCTGCTCGCAATGTCAACAACAATTGCACAGAATGACCAAACCGCTGGTCAAGCGAGCAAATGAGACTTTATTTGATAGTTATCTATTGATGTACGAATTGATTCACTTGCCTTTTAATCAATTGTGACACAAATATAGAGCCACTGTTCCATAAACGTGGGGCAGAAGTGTAAAACAAGCTCACTCATTCTCAGAAATAAACAGATAACAGTACATGTATTTGGTTGTTTAATTTCACAGTTGAAGAGTGGCCAGGCGCTGCAAAGGCCCAACTCCTTGCATACTACAAGCACTTACAAAGTTTTCTAAAAGTTTTTAATGTCACCTTTAAGTAAAAAAAAATTAAATCACTGAAAAAAAAAAAAAAAGAGTGTAAATCGCGCCAGCCGTGGAATAGTTGAAAGACTAATGACAACCCTAGACTCGATATCGGTATGGCTCTGTTCGAGAGGGGATGATGTAAATGAGCATTTGCTCTCCCCTTGAAATAACCTTGATCAGTGTTCTGTTTGTTTCCTACTTTCTGATGACAACCTTGTAATTTGTTTCTCTGTCTGTCTTGTAGGAGTGTGAATCCTTTGAGAAATGTTGCCAGAATGTGTGCGGGAATCGTAGTTGTGTGGCAGCCCGATACATGGTTGGGGAGAAAGGCCCCGTGGGCATGCCCAAGGAAGCTACCTGTGCCACATTCATGTGCACCCAGCAAGGGGCAGAGTGTGACATCTGGGATGGCCAGCCAGTGTGTAAATGTCGGGATCGCTGCGAGAGGGAGCCTCACTTTACGTGTGCTTCGGATGGCATGACCTACTACAACAAGTGCTACATGGATGCTGAGGCGTGTTCCAAGGGTATCAGCCTCTCCGTTGTAATGTGTCGCTTCCACCTCACCTGGCTGAGTACGAGCCCTGCGTTACCCCCGGTGACCACTTTCCACCCGACGACCACTCCCCTGCAGGTGACCATACCACCTCCCGCAGTGCCTCAGGCGCCTCTCGTCTTGAGCACCCCCGTTCAGCAGACTGTAAATGTGGGTGACGCCGCCAGTTTCCTGTGCGATGTCACGGGGGGACCCCCGCCTGAGATCACTTGGGAAAAACAGCTTTCGGAAGATGTCAAGAAGGTGGTCATGGGGCGCAATCACGTCCAGGGGAATATGGTTGTCACCAACGCTGGTCAGCTTGTCATTTACAGCGCCAAGATGCATGACTCGGGAGTCTACATCTGCACAGCTCGGAACCCGTCTGGCTCGGTACAAGTCCACCACACACTCATGGTGCTGCCCATAGAGCCATCAAAGACTCCAGTAGCTATGGACTTGACCCGGTGCTCCCCTGAGGAGTGTCTGAAACCCCCCGACAATCCCGACCTCTGTGGGAGTGACCTTGAGAAAGTGAGCTGGTTCTATGACTCGCTAAGCAACAACTGCATCTCTTTTGCTCACTGCCACAGCAACGGCCAACAGCCAAGAAAGTTGTTTGAGACCCACGACAAGTGCATGCAGTGCTGTGGTCCTGAGTTGTCGGGCCCCTGCGACCTCCCAAGTCTGCAAGGCCCATGTAAGGCCTATGAGCCCCGTTGGTCCTACAGTAGCAGCCTGCGCCAATGCCAGTCATTCATCTACGGAGGATGCGGGGGCAATGACAACAACTTTGAATCCAAAGAAGCATGCGAAGAGATGTGCCCCTACCCCCAAAACCACAACTGCAAAGCCTGTAAGCCGAGAGGTAAGATAGTGACCAGCTTCTGTCGCAGCGACTTTGTCGTCCTGGGACGCATGACTGAGCTCGCAGAGGAGAAAGACTCTGGCCACGCTCTTGTGACTGTGGAGGAGATCCTCAAGGATGAGAAGATGGGCCTCCGCTTTTTTGGTAAGGAGCCTCTCGAGGTAAACTTCATCAACATGGACTGGAACTGCCCGTGCCCCAACATTACAGGCGCCGCCGCCGAGGGCCAGGTCATCATCATGGGTAACGTTAGCGAAGGCATGGCTGTGCTGGAGCCGCACAGCTATGTGGGCGCCTCAAGTCCTCGTCGCGTACGAAAGCTTCGAGAGGTCATCTCCAAGAACACGTGTGACATTCTCAAAGCTATCACCAACAGTCCTCAGTAGGCTGTGTGAAGGTCGACTACACTTAAGGGAAACGACACAACTCTTGTCTTTGCAGTTCTATTAACCTCCATACAGTAACGAAACAGCTTTGGCAAATTGGCAATTGCTCAGACTTGGTCACATCACACCACTTCTACTTAGGCAGACTGTATATAGAACTTAATCATATGTATGGGGCTGAAAGCATGGGTCATGACACTAATTACGGATGAATTTCACTGGGTGTGAATCTCTCCAATAAAAAGATGATTTGATGCATATTCCAAAAACATGGGGTGCGATACCTTTCAAGGGCAGCTCAATTTTAACGTGGAACGACTTTGAATATGGTTTAATGGGATGATAATTTTATTTGATTGTCCAAATTAATCAATTGCTCGACAACTAATCAATTATGAAATTAATCGATAACTATTTTAATAATTGAGTAATTGTTTAGAACCATTGTTTAGCTTAAAATTTGTCCAAATCCTTTTATTTCAGTCATTCAACAGCAGTTTTTCAAATTTTTGTAGTCCTTAAAAGCAGGCTGGTTATGTTTTGTGTTTAATCAAATGAAGACATTTCCAAACATCTGCTTTTACTATGAAACACAATGACAGAAATAGTAACTGAATGCGTTCAAAAAAGGTTAGTGACTACAACATCAATCCCTCCCGTGTGATAATGCTTACCGTATTTTCTGGGTGATCAATCGCTCCGGAGTATAAATCGCGCCAGCCATGGAATAATTGAAAGACTAATGACAACCCTAGACTCGATATCAGTATGGCTCTGTTCGAGAGGGGATGATGTAAATGAGTTTCTCGTTGTCATTGAGCATACATATGAATGACCTGGTCAGTACTGAAACTATGGCTTTTGCTTTGAATATAGGAGTATAAATCGCGCCAGCCATGGAATAATTGAAAGACTAATGACAACCCTAGACTCGATATCAGTATGGCTCTGTTCGAGAGGGGATGATGTAAATGAGTTTCTCGTTGTCATTGAGCATACATATGAATGACCTGGTCAGTACTGAAACTATGGCTTTTGCTTTGAATATATATATCTTATCTCGCCAATAAATAAAAAAAAATATATGTATCTCGACATACGATATACTCGTATTTTGAAGTGGAATGTTTCGATTCGGTTGGATGGTCATCTTTTTAAATGCAAAAAAACCCCAAAAAACTAAACGATTTTCCTATTCAAATCATTTTCTATGACACCCCTAATCTACATACAGTTATATGCTATACAGTAAATAGTCCCATTCAGCGGGGCATTTATGTCTTTTATTTATGTCGTCGATTCACCTCTATATGTTGGTCACTGAAGACATTTCTTTTGTTTATTGTTTTTCTGGATGGATTTGTGAAAATGAATAAATTGTAATATATTTTACAGAGCCACGCCATTCCTTTTCAGAAATAAAATGATTTCTGGTTTTTTTTCCCGCTTTCATGCTTGATGGATATTTATTAATATGTAAACGGATATGTTTTTATACCGCATTGTGCCATTTAAAAAAATATATATTTTTTGTAAATTGAGACAAAAATAAAGATTTGCGATGAATCTTTAGGGTCATTGCGTCATTACTTCAGGTGTATTTTTTGCGCTCCTCTTCTCAAGTCGTGATCTTGTACTGCACATTGTTTGAAAACCCATTTTATTTACATTCATCAAGTTTCTCGATTATAGACATCGATAATGATACCCTTTCATTCTCCACTCCTGTTGATCTTAAAAAAGGCCCAGAAAATGTTTCATAGATTTTATCTCTTCCAATGACAAGCAAATGATCATTTTTAAAGGTATTTATCAATCACCAAGAGAGCGCTCTTCTCTTCCCGAAGACAAACTGTGGCGCATCATGACTCACAGGCAAATGGAGGTGCTTTTAGTGAAGGCCTGTCAAAGCATTTCCGGGGAGTAAAAAGCAAACTTGTTCTCCAAATACTTTTGAATGAGTCATTTCAGACTCGTTTTTATTGTAACACGAGTGATCGTATAAAACGTTGAGTTTAGTTTTATTTTCTGGCAACAAATTTCAGTATCTGTTAGATGTAGTCTTCCATTTAGTCATTCAAAGACCCCTGTGGTATTCGTAGTCCAATGGGGTTAAAAAACCCAAGCAGTAAACCTACCGTGCAAGAGTTATGTGTTTCATGGCGTGCCAGCGCTCTTTTTTGGGATTACAAGCAGGCCTTGGTGGGCTTTCGACGAGGGTGTTCTATTTCTCGCATGAGATTCTGTTTCTCCCATCCAAGGGAGGCAACAAATCCACCTTCGTTTACTGGCAAAACCACCAGGGAGCTCAAAAATTTACTTCCCCATCTGTTGAGGCTCTCGAGTAGGAAAGGTTTCATCCGAGGCACCTCGGATCACGCCACTCTGAAATATACGCCCATATAAACAACTTTGCTGTTTTATACACAAATTGATTGTGTAAAATACGCTACATAATGTAATGTATCGTCCTTTTTATGACTCGGCGCGTCTCGGGTTTGTTTCGAAACCTGCACGTGCTGATTTCTGAGGTAAAAATGATCAGCTCATTGAGGAGAGAAATTAATGAACAGTCTTAACAAAGGAGATTCCAAACAACTTGGATCACAATGTCATTAGGTGACCACAACGTGCCCCATCGTGCCCCATCAGACACAGGATCGGACATGAAGACCCCCTGCTTTAAAATTGTTGCGAAAGGCACAGCGGCGTAAGACGACGTCATCATTACGGGTTTTCATTTCATTATTTCATCTGGAACTCTTTTGTGTACAAAGGTTAACCACACCATATATCTCGGACCTTAACCCTATCGGGGGCAGCTGTCACTACAGTGGACATATTATCATGTTATCAGTTTATAGGGTGCATGAAGGGGTTAAGGCACACTTAAAATCTTTTAATTTTCTCAAAAATCAACAGTTCGCCTTGTCATCTGGTGCACCTTACATATGTACGGAAGTTGGCTTCCGTTCAACTGTCTTGAATTCAAATTCCATCCTGCTACATTTGTGCTCTCGTTCTCATCTGCATCCAATCGCTCATAGGTGTCCAACGGCTGTGTCCGAATGTGCATGCTAATCGCTATCAAGTTCGTGATTAAGGGGTTACGCCATTTTACGAAAGAAATTTCAAGATACGAAAGGTAAAAATACAGTTTGGGGGCTCCTGGTCGCAACTCCGAGTTTCCTGAACGCAACTTACTTCTAGCTACTCTGCCATTGGCTATTACCTGGCATCTTCCCGGCATCCCATTGGCTAAGACTGACCTCTACCGGATGCGTCTCTGTGTGTAGATAGATAGATAGATAGATAGATAGATAGATAGATAGATAGATAGATAGATAGATAGATAGATAGATAGATAGATAGAGATGTGTTTATGCAGCATCCTTGTCATTCGCCCCTCTAGCCATGCGGCGTTATGATAGTTTTACATAAATGTGAATCACCCAGAAAAAGTGTTCACCAGTCGGGCGACCGCACACTATGCTGATGTTTGCCTTGGACATTTTCGAAGGATTGTTAAAAGCCGACAAAAGCAAACGTCCTTGGATCAGTTCTTTACAAAACGCCAGGCAAAAACCACTTCTGAGAGAGAACATGAACTCAAGAGGGCAAAAAACAATGAGGACGCAGTTAAAAGTTAAACGACCATCATTTTTATTCTTTATTCTATTCTTTGTTTATTTACATGAGGCACAACTCTCATTTATTATGCAATATTCTAATTGTAACATATATTTGTTACATATTTTGTTGATGCATTTTTATGCTTTACGAAACATTTATGTCTGAATTTTGGGGGGCTTGGAATGAATTCGGGCATTTACATGGAAAACGAGTCTCTACTTACAAAATTTTCTCGTTAAGAAGTTTCTTCCAGAACCAATTAATTCCGTAAGTAGACGTACCACTGTATTGAACTACTCCGTGGTTGTTTATCTTCAATCTTGGTGCAATTTAAGTTGTACTTTGCAATTATATCGGCATTGTCTGGTGCTCTGTTATTGTATGCAACCTTCAGTTATTTATTGGCAACAGTAGTTGCACAAATTGACCATAGCACAGCAGTCTTGAAACTCACGTCTCTTTGTGCATTTTAATAGGTCATAAAAATGTGGCAGACATTTTGCGGTTCGAATCGATTGCAGACACTGCTGTGAAGTGTGAAAACTACTTTGGAGCCAAAGACAAGAATTTAGGAAACACTAGAACAGGAATGGTTTGAACAACAGAAAAAGAATTTATTGCAAACCGTTTGGTATTCTTTCTTACTGGAATGGTAATTAGCGGTTACTACACCTATCAAATGCCATCGTTATTATTTTTCTTTTCAGCCTTTGCCATAAACCTGCCAAGTCTGGTATTTAGAAAATGTTTCTTCAATTAAATTTCGGACGATTAAAAACACATGTGAAACTCATTTTTCAAACACGATTGTAATTTGAAGAGAGCCAGCTAAAAGGGTAAAAAAAAAAGTGCTTTGATTTGTTGCTACAGAAGGTTTGCTCTCTATTTTTTTTTTTCCATGTTCCTTCCTCTCAGATGTTTGATGATTTGATAGGGTCAACGCGTTCATGGGCTCGGTTCACCTGAGGCGGGACGGGTCGGTGTGGTCCACGAACAGGGTTTTTGTGCAATGTCTGCGTACGTTTGCTTCTGTCCAAAAGAGATAGAAAAATAACACCTGTGGAAGAGATCAAGCATGCCGTTTGGTTGAAGATCTTTTTGATTCATGACATACATCTGTTATGGTCATAAAAGTGGGAACATCTATCGAATAGATACAGTAGCAACTCATACGCTTTGACTGGAGATGAATAGATCCCATGGCGATTTATCATCCGGAAACAGCAGCGGCTTAAAGGTTTGAAGCTAGGAGGGAGCAACTCAGGGCTAAAAGTTCAAATGAGCAGTGCTCAGGAGGAGAACAAAATCATTCAGTCATTTCTCATGAGTTCAAACCTCAAGACATGCCAAGAAACACCCAAATACTGATTTCTCAATGGTGTTATGGATTGAAGAATTTAGATCAGCGCTTAACGGATGAAAGTGATTGGTCAGAGGCTGTACCAGTAATAAGCATTAGAGCTCAACTTTGATTCAGATACCAGCAACCCTGCGATTAAAAATAATAATTATCCATCCATCCATTTTCTAAACTGCTTATTCTCATGAGGGTCGCGGCTGTGTTGGAGCCTATC